TATATATATATATAAGAGAAAAGAAAATATGATATTTTGGTCTTTTTTTTGCTTTATTGATGATAATTTTTTTGAATAGAATAGTGATTTTATATATATATATTATTTTGAGTATGGTTTATATTGTTTAAAATTTGTATTTTGTCAGAAGCTCTGGATTTTCTATAAATTAAAGAGATTATTGAATTATTAAAATCACTACTTTGAAAAGCAAAACTTAGCCGAAAATTTTTTAAAGTTGAAAAAAAATGTAGTATAGATGTTGTTTCTTTGTGCTATTCAATCATAAAGATTCTTAAATTTCATCAGCAATTATTGTAGTAGAGTGATTTTTTCTGATTAAAATAGTGATAATAGCTAATATAAACAATTGTTTTGTAGTTTAAATACTTTTATTAGAAAGTATGACAAACTTACGATGCTATTTACAGATAATAATATCTGATCATGGTCTTATGAAGTATTCCACTTACAAGATAGTTGCATGCTACGGGTTTATTGACATAATTCAACTTTTTGTCTATATATGGAATGGTATTTTTGCAATAATTGGTACCACAGTGCATAAATGGATTGAAAAAGTTTGCAAAAATTACGCATTTTTAATCGTATGAGAAAATATTTGTATGAGGGAAATTTTCTGAATTTATTAGTGCACTGTTTTGAATACTTTTTGAATAATATTAATGTAGTGTAATTTTAAACAATTATTACTAAAAGATGTAATTCTGCATTCACAATCTCAGTTATTTGAGAATGAGCTAATTGAAAAAGAAATTTCAGATTGCTGGCTTTCAGTTCAGTTTCTGCTGGTATAACATGAGTTCATTAATAGTTTTGTTAGCCATAAATCGGTTATCATTGCTATATTTTGGTGCGCGAGCTGAATATTTTTTCGATTCAACAAAGACTTGGGTTTTTTAAATTACTTTTTTGATTCTTTAAACTGATTAATTACATACTTTAAAATTTCAAAACAATTCTTGCTTGTTTTTTTTTTGGAAACTTCAAACACGTGACTATCAACTCTTGACAATTGAAATAATTATAATGTTTTAATTGAATTATGTCAAAGATAAGGATATTTGCTAAAATAACTGTAGAAGAACTAAGCAAACATATTTGAATGTGTATAATTGGGATGAACATTACCTTTTAATCAAATTAAAAGGAAATGTTTCAGTCAATGTTATTTTTCGCAATTATTATTCCATCAGCATTTTCGCTGATTTGGTTGACACCTTATACAACATATGGTTTTGATGCTCCAGTTTTGATGTGGATCTACAACAGTCCTGAATTTATGCCTTCTTGTGATCGAATTACAACTTTGGTTACCAGTGTGCTTGCTACTTTTTGTTATTTACTTGTATTGCTACATGTTTTGAAAAAAGTTAGTATAGATGTATATTTATTAAGTTATGATTGATCATACAAATAGCCATAAAATTAAATTTTGTATTATAATGTAATTAAGCATTTTAATTTTTGATGATATAATAATACTTTTTCACACTTATAAATATTATTAAATTGGAATTTTAAGTAGTTTTATTTATTGTGATATGAGTGAAATTACTATTGAAAGTTACCAGTAATTTTTTTATGTAAAGTTTAGTTATATCATTTCCATATTCAAAGATATTTCAGAGCAGATCGAAGGGCAGCGAAATTCATGGTACCTCGAGACAACGGGATACACTGCTAACATTACAGGTTGTAAATAACAGTGGATATACTGTTTGTGTCTCCATTTATTTTATGTTTGTGAGGCCTTATTATGTGCCTTCCACTACATTGTTCAATGGTATGGATATTATTTTATGTGTATTGTGGAATGGAAAAATCCTATAATGCATTTAATTTTCAATAGGTTCGCTTACTTTTTTTTGCAATTTACAAGATTTATAATTAGATAATAAACGTTTTGTATAAAGTGAAATCATAACGTTTAATTTAACTAGCATCTTTTTCTTTCTTTTAAAATAGAAAAAGCCTAGTGATACACTCAATTTTTGTTGCATTCTTCAACATTTGATAACTAGTAAAATATCATGCTTACGCTTACAAAGTTCACTTTTGAATGATAATCAAATTACAATAATTTGAATAATTTGCTGCTCCAATTTGACAAAAGATAGCTAAAAATGCAAGGTCAAAGTTTGAACAAAATGGAAATTTTGAAACAATGATTAAAGTAAGGTAAGGTTAAAGTAAGGATTAAAGTAAGGTGGAATTTGATACAAAATAAATGTTTAAAACAATTTTGGATGTCTTAAGGCTAAGAAAATTATTAATATAATTTAATAATTCCAATATTATTACTTTAGCACTGATTTAAGATGCATACGCGCAAAATTTATTGAAAATACTCGAAATCAAAAAATTTTATCACTGATACTGGATATGACATTTTGTTCACAACACAGAACTTCTGTAACTGTTATGGCAATCGCCAGTTGCGTTCCGCCGAAACCGGTCATACCACTTAAGAATGGATATGCAGCTAATAAACGATACACTGGCGCACATTTGAAACAAACTTTTGGTGCTAAATCTTAATATCTTCAGCTATAACGCATAACCAGCTAGTTAGTTTGTCTTTGGTCAATATATTTTTATAGCACTTAGAAATGGATGGAATGAATATAAAGATAACTAGCATTTATGATTTATTTAACAAAAATAAGTGAAACTTTCAAAATTCAATGAAACAAACTGCCTGCAGTTTTTATCATCACATTACAGATGTTAGTTATTATTTTTACGTTCATTTATAACTTACATAAAAACACAGCCAAAAAATCATAAGATAAATTAACTAATTGGTTACGACTATACTTCCATATTTGGTTTGTTTGCTATAAACAACTAACACTTTCTGATCATGCAAACACCACAGTAATATTTAATTCTATTATAAAATGTCTTGTATTTAATCATTGAATTAATGTTTTACTTAAACTAATTTTTAATCTTGTATCACATGAATATCTTCAAATAGATATTTCTGATTTTTTGATCTGTATAGAATGCAATTATTTAAAAAAAAAGTCGCTTTAATCAGTAGGTAAAAGTTCAGAAAAAAAATCAGCTCAACCCATCTATTAAAAAAGAAGCTAATATTGCAATAACAAAACTATGTAGTAATTTCTTAAATTTTGGTAACCAAAACTCAGTGATACGAAAAGACTAAAAAACTTTAATTTTCTTATTCAGAATGATGACTTCTAAGTAATAGTCATAGCCTTCAAAAATAAGAGATAAAAAAACATAAGAAAATAGAATCTTATGTTTGTGAATATATGAAACACCGTGTTAGATGATCATCAACAGCTAGCAATTTTGTAAAGCATAAGTTATTATACTGAATGAATCTGACATACTTCACAGACAGAACTACTTACTGCATACATATCTTTCAAGTTACTCAGGATTAATTCATGAGGTTATTACACTCACTGTTTCATATGTGACAAAAGCTTCATGATGAATAAAAATTTTGGAATTTCTATCATGATAAAACCTAAAAAGCAGTTTGATAAAGGTAAAGCGCAACAAACATATTTCTCAATACCAATTCTTAGTTATCGAATCTCAGCGACACTTCCTACGAATATGCAACAGTTATTGTAAATGAATAACAATGTGAAAAACGCAATTGTATTTGTAATAGCGCTTTGTACAAGTTATTTTATTAGATTTTAATTTGCTTCCAAAAAAGATGACCATGTATCTCTGAAGTCTGATAATTCTTTCTTTGATCTAGCAACATGCATCTGTAAATATGAACCATCATGTACTCGACCTACACGTTGACCTGATCCCGGCACTAGGTACATTCTAGTATCTCATGCACAACATCCATATGTTTTGACTCCCAACAGGTGAAAAAGTTACCAATTCGTTTCAACAAGAGTCTTGCACCTCTCTTAGTGAAAATAAACTTTTACAAGCCAAACCCCTCCGTAACTTATTTTTTGCACAATATTAACTTAGAACTGCATGCAAGACCCTCTATGAGAGGAAATACTTGATAGTCTTTCGGACTACTGCTTTTCAAAATCACGATCTGCAATTGCAAATTTACATTAGCTAATAGACCCCAATCTGAATATTTCGTAGTCAAATTATCAAAATTCGAACAGATATGTACAGACTGATTCACATATTTGAAACTTCTAATTTCACAGATATCACTTTGCAAATTGGAAATAGCTCAAGTGGGGAACTAAACCTGTACAGTTTGCACAATTATGACTACCGTCCACAATATTCAAGCAAAACCCACACTACTGGCAATTGGAAATTGCCAAGCTCAGATAATTTACGCCAACCAAATCACATGTAACTCCCTAATATTCAAACTTGCTTACTCGCTTCACTCCCTACATAGTTGAAACACCAACTACATCATCTAATGAATATTTCTTCCGTTCTTCTGTAATACGCTGAAATCACACATAAATCCATTCATAAAACATCATTTCATTCACTGTGATAAGATTTCTGTAATAAAAGAGAACATTTATTCAGCTAACAAAAAAGACAAAAAAACAAAGATGCATATACTTATCAGTGGAAAATAGAAACATCGGATCAACAGTTCATTACATGCTAACGAAAGTACTTGTAATGCATTATCCAACAATATCGTCTGAAATATTAAACATAACGAAGGAACACGACAATACTCAAAGTACTATTTGATTTGACAAAAATATATAATAAACAAATCCCATAACATACTGACAATATAGCCTGAAAATGAAAAGTTTCAGCTTTGTGACCTTTCTCGCCTTCTCTTGCGATCCTTTACTACCGGACTTCTGTCTTTTCTATTTCGATACTGCTTGCTATCACCAATTACTTCTTTACTGCGATCCCTTCTGTGGCGATTGTTTAATTTTTCTCTAATGCTGACCTGGCACTTTCCTTCACTTTCCTCATCAGTACTATATTTCCTTCTTCGTCTGATTTCCTCCACATCATGTCCTCTATCGCCTTCGAAACGACTGTCTTTCGATGCATTTCTACCATATATTCTCCTCTCCTTATTCTTTTCCCTAACTGTGGCACGCCTTCTGTGTGTCCTTTTCTCTTGTTCATTTTCTAAATCACGATTTCTTGTAAGCTCATATTTTTTCGGCAAACTGTCTTCATTACGAAAATCACTATCTCTTTTAACTCTATCATTATCATGTCCAGATTTTTCACTTCGCTTACTACTGTCTTTATCAGCTTGAGTACGGCTTTTCTTCACATGATGATCTTCCGAAGATTGGTCAGTTTTAGACAATTTATTTTTCTCATCTTCACGTAAACCTTCACGTTTTACACATTTGTAATCACTTCCTGATGAAGCTAAAACATTCGATATTAGTCACTCCTTCCACTGTGGAAAAAATTATATTTGAACCAAAAATATCATGTCAATTTTTATTTAAAAATGGGAAACAACTAATCACATTAACTTACAAGAACTGGATGATGATTCACTATCAGATTCATCAGAACTACTACTGCTTTCGTCCGAGTCTGAATCCGAATCCGAATCAGTAGATGAACTTTCTGAAGATGAAGAATCTTGCTTCTCAGCTTTTTTCTTTATCGCGTTATTCAAATGTAATCTCATGTCAATTCTAAAAATTAGAATATTAAATGTGGCTCTTTGTACACAGCTTGAAACTGCACTGAAACAATTAATCTAAAAGCGATTCAAGATTACAATACTTACGTGAGGTAACCCAGACCAATTGTCGTGAAGAAATTGATCGAAAAACGTGTGTTATTCGGATTATCACGGGGGAATATCTTATCAAAAGCAGACTGCATTGTTCTAAAACATTTGCCCAACAGATAAACGTGAAATATTATACTGAAATGATTAACTTGTTACAAAATTGTACAAATAAACAGTTGTCGTATTTAATCGAGAATGAATATGAAATATAATTTCTTCAAATCAATTTTCAATAACAATAACATACGGATCACGAATTCTCTGCAGCAAATTTTCTACTCCTAGAAATTCGGCAAGTTCTTGGAAAATAATTTTGATATATATACGCCCAGAAGAAGTAGTGTCTTCCTCATTTAGTGATATTTGATCCAAAATCTTAAACATTTTTTTGTTTAACCTAACTAATGCTCAAAGACTGGCAGAAAAAAGTATAATATTATCATATAGCACTATCAGCAATATCTATTGTATAAAAGAATTAAATAAACTAAGACATACATTCCAAGAAATAGCGTCCGTTGAAAGCAAATGTGCAGTTAAGCAGGCCATATTGCGAAGCTTATTATATTCGAATCTGTGTATGATAGTATAAGTATCACGAGAAATTCGCTCAAATGCTTCTTGGAACTCTTTTCGAAGTCGACAAAACCGTTCTGCTAATAAACCGTAAAATTTTTCGTATGTCCTTTGTTGAGCGCAACAATCCACTATCATATTACACATTTCTACCTAAACAAGAATATCAATATTGCATTCATACTGCTCATTCAAAGTTGGAAAAACTGGAAAGAAAACTAACATCTTCTCCTTTCTTCAAATCAATTTTCAATAATTTATGAGCTGCCTCTTGAAAATCTAGAGATGACTGAATTGTTAAATAAATGTTGCGGCGAAATGCAACCAGGTTTTGCTCAGTATTGTCGATGACCATCATACTTTGCTTTTCTTCTATAAAATTTATAAACGTGGTTAAACTAGGATTGAAACAACAGAGGAGCATTAATTAATCTTTCTGAAATTCAACACATAAACTGATTTTCATGTGGTTTGCAGAATATTAATGAGTGTTTTTTAAAGACCTTCTAGAGCTACTGATTCGGTATCCAATGTCCTTTCGCCCCCTTCTTCCTCTGAACTTTCATCATCTGAACCAATCGCATCATTCCGAATCTCTTCATACTCCGCTTCATGTTTTTCGAAGTCAGGGTCATAATGAAATACGTCTGAAAAATTAAAAAACTGCTCTGAAATAATTACTGCAAGACGTCATGAAAAATAAAATTGCTGAATAATGTAATAAAAACAATTTTCAAGAACTGCCAAACTAACTCAATTCATTTTCCGGCATCAAAGGATCTTCTAGCGTAATTGTATGTGTAATCTGATCGTCCTCCTCGATCAAATCCAACTCACTAATAAGTGCTGGGTAAGCCTGAATGTGTCATGTTTCAACATATTAAATATGATAAAAAAATTTTGAAAAGTGAAGAAACACTCAATTTAAATGTTATTTTAAAAAAGCTTTGGAAAAAGGAAGAACTTAAGATTTGCTGTTTGCAAATAGTCAAAACATCAAAAATTTAAGCAACAATTATAATTTATTAGTTTCGTAGAGGAAAAACAAAGTTGTAAATACTTACTTGAAATTTGTCTTTTCGAATATGAAAAATGACTTCAATCATGTACTGAATTCGCTTGTCAATATCCGAATCACTTAAAATACTTCTGAGACGATCAAAGACTGCTGAAAACCTGTCTTTAAAATATCCTCAACTGATGGCATAATAGAAAAACCAATATAATTATGTAAAACAAACCATTTAAACCGCGAGGTGAAATTTCGGCCAATTTAGCACCACATTCTTTCAAAAATGCCACTGTAACTTCGACTGAATCATCTGTTGGATTCTCAAGCATAAGTATCATCATTTCCAAAGCAAGGATTTCGTGAATCTATAATGTATCATTTTTTTAAAGAATATAAAGAAATAATGAAGGTCCACAGCATAAGTATAATACACGTTACATGTGAAGTGCTGATAAGTTCCATGCATAAAGTGCATGCAACATCAAATAATAGTATGAAGCTTTTAAAAAATACCACTTGCTGATTGATAAGATGAGCAATAAATTTTGATATAGTAACAGTAGAATTTTTGTCATTTCGTTTATAACAGCGTTTGAACTGTATCAGTAATCGGTGAATTATTAGCATCCCGATGTTAGGGAAATGGCTGTTAATGATAGCAACCATTGCAGAGTACACATTAGAAAATGTAGGAGAATACGACTGTGCTTGAATAATTGACCGTGCTAATAAACCTCTGAAAATTAAATAGACAATTTAGCTATCATGGTGCTATATATAAAAACATTACCAAGAGTACGCTACTGATCCATAATGGCTATATACAAAGAAAGCATCATAATAAATAGATTTATTCAGATCAATTTTTAGGGCAGTCATAATAATTCATGGTTTGAGATCAAATATTATTTTTAGAATTATCATACTTTCATGATAAATTCAAATTCTAAAAATACTTAAAATTTGCATGTCACTTTAAATTTTTTGGCTCCAACGAACAGAAAACTTATATCATAAAAATGCAAACAAGTATCTGACCTTCCTCGGATAATGTTTTCATGCAGTAAATCTCGTATGACATTGAGTAAATTACTGGTATTTGCTTTGTTTACCTTAAAAAAAAGTATTTTTACTAGAAACATAAGTATTTATAGCAATGGACTATACCATATTAGCATGTAAACGACAAAACCTGTCCATGAATTCGCTTTTTTAATCGCTCCCAGTTGAGCCGCTGATACTGTTCACTATTTTTGTCAGTGATTTGTTCTTGCATCATTTTCAGTTTCGCAGGTGGAATGTAGGCGCCACCTGCACGTGTATGCAGTAGATCCATGTTCTTACTTGGTTTCTGTGCTTTATTCATTTTCGATGACGTCTGAAACTGCTATAAGAAGAAACATACCTAATTTACCAAGTTAAGCTTCCCAACAACATCAGAAAAGATACCAATTATTATTTGTCACTGTTTTCAATGAAAAAAGTCATACTGACTTATTTGTACTTTTTATTTCTAGATTGTCAAATACAAACTTTCAACTACTAGAATTTATGACTCTATTCCTGATAACAGTTATCAATCAGTAGTAAATAATGAATAATAGTATTTTCATTTACATGCTTACTTTCAACTAATTATATGCAAAACAGTAAATCGAAATGATATCATACTTGAGAATTGCTTTCAACTTTAGCTGACTTGTCTTCCACTTCCGAAGTTAACTGCTTTACCTTATCTTCACTATTACTCATTTTAAACTGCAAGTGAATTCAATTAGTCAAATCGTGGAGAAAACAGTGAAAAGTATCATCGATAAAATACGAAAATAAACAAACTTTCTATGGTTAATATGACTTACTGCTGCTTTTAGTTATTAAATATTTTCAAACAATTTAAATCAAAACTAAGTATAATAGAAAAAGTATATACTAAATGTTTAAGTTATGCGAATAACAAGAACATAATAAATACTGGCAAAGGTAACTGACGATTTCAGTCAACTACGCTAGGGATGCCAGTGTTAGCTTATAATTCAAATATAAAACAGGGAAAAGAAAAAAGAGCTCTAGAACAAAAAAATAATAGTCTTGCTTACTTGAGTCCAAAGCTTAGTCAACTTGAAATATACCTAATGGGGTCAACAACAACCACCGATCCAGAATTCACAAGAGAATAAAAATCGGGCACCGAAAAGTCGTGAAATACGGACAAAGTAGTCGGGCCGAGGTTCATTTTATAGCAAATTATAATAGCTATTGCTATAAAAGAAGTGGGGAAGTAATTTCAAGCTATATAATCGGTATTCGTGAGTTTGCTATGTCAAGTTAGCTTTTCTTTCTTGATGTTATGTGTCTTTGAAATTTTTGTCATACTAAAGTTCCATAAAAATTTTATCAGTATCTGTAAAGCACTATGTTCTGGAATCCGTCATTCGAACTAACTTCTGATTATATCATGAAGTGATTTATTTTCACTCATATTTCTAGATATTTACTTACTTGAGTTGTATGCGTGGAAGATTTGTATCGTAGTAATGCAGAGTGACAGGAAGCTTTCAATTACCGGTTTTTCCATTTTAGAAGTTTGTGATTTTTTGCCTTATTTTCTAAATTGCTGCACTTTCCTCTAGTACTTTAGTTTCTCTTAGAGTCGAAAGCCGCATTCGCTTCGAATGAATGATGGAATTTCAAGCAACAACAGTCATACGATAGTACGTCCAACACTTGAGAGCAAAAAATGTGATTGTCCCGATGTTGCATCATCTTCTACATCGTCATTCACTGTCAAGTATGTTCTGCAGTATTCTCGAAGTAACAAACTAATTTTCTATTACTTTTTGTTGTCTACAGGTTTGTTTAGATCATCATCTTCTAAGAAAATATCAGTTTTACCGGCTCATGATCGTGCATCTAAAGGTAAACGTTTTGCCTTTCATCAGTGTACAGTTTTTAATTTGTGGGTTATAAATTTCGGTGGTAAATAAGCTTGTAATATTTTCACTTTTTATGCATTAAATAACGATTGCGAGCTTTATGAACGTTTTGTATGTGAAATTCTCGATGTCGTTTATAGATTATTGCATATTGTAGCACTTTTTAGCTTATCGCTTTCAGTATCCAAATAACGTAGTCCTTTCTTTACTTATAACAAATCAATTTAAGCTTGTTAACTACTTTTTATTCATCGTATCTATTATAGTAGTTAGTATAAAATTTAATGGTTCAGGGAGACATTCCTACTGCGCGCATGTATTCCATTCATTTATATATTCGTGTTATTTTTAATATTCTGTCCAAAAAATGTCGGCTATCTTATTAAAATATTATTTTTTTGCTTTTTTTTTAGCTGGAAAAAATGAAAACATATTTGAATTGACAAATATACAAAGGTGTAATCAGCATTTAGAACTTATGATCTGTATATGTGGTGATGCTTGAATAAATAATTGCCAAACTCTTAAATGAATGGAGTACTTCAAGAATATTTCAGGGAGGCCTGAGTCAGTTTTTTGTTGTACTGATAATAATGTGGAAAAGCCCAAATCGTCTGTTTGTTGTACCAACAATGAAGATAAATCTGAATCAGCTACTCATTACATTGATAAAAGTGAAGAAAATACAGATTCAATTGCTTGTTATATTGATAATAGCGAAGATATGGTTCGGCAGATGTTCGCTTTGCTTGATAAACAAGAATTAGAAGAAATACTGCCAGGAAATTTGAGGGCATGTAAAATATTTATTTAAAATTTATGAAATACAGCAACATCTTTAAATATTTTTACTGTATTTTTAAGAGCTTAAATGAAGCAGATCTAATACCTCTTTGTGTGAAGGAACTCAATGCAATGTCAAAAGAAATGGTGCATAGTATTTTAAGAGGTTTGTTGCGTCTTTGTTAATTTCACAAATTCCTGCTACTATTCTTGTAAATTCACCCTCTCTCGATTCTTTTATTAATCTATGATTCATTCCTTCCAATATTTTTTGATGTTACTGTCATACATTTGCCCATGCTACAAGCAGTTGTCAGTAATAGTGAACTACTTTGTGACATATAATTGTCCATTCAATTTGAGGAGATTACGAGCAACTGACTGGGTTAGAAGGAAAAATTGATGAACCATACAACATCAAACCCGAATGTGGAAGTACGTTGTTATGCTTTTTCGACTGTAAAATGTATATCATATTTAATATAATAGGAGTTATTAAAAAAATATTAATTTCAAATATTTTCCAGCGCTAGAAAAACAAGTCGCCGTTGCAAATCTAACAACAGGATCAAAGTCAGCTCTTGCGAAAGTTCCAAGGCATGCATCTTATCCTATTTCAGTTTTCAACAAACATAAATCAAATAAAATGGGTTAGCGAACATAAGCATCAAGTTCAATTGTTTCTTTGCATTCTGAAGGAGGGAAATCGAGTTTTTTTGTGGCAAATGCTGAGGGTTTTTTGTGAAGTTCTAGAGTTTCTTGAAATAAAATGGAAAATAAAAAGAGCAAAATTTTTATCAAAAAATTTGCATTTTGTAGTTTTGCTTACTGTATTATATTATTAACAAAAATGACAGCAGATTAAACGCCGGCTGTGATGCATCGAAAAACATGTATTCTGCGATGTTGGATCAAGAAATAGAAATCGATAAACAGTTAAGTTTGGACCTTGAAATGAAGGAATCATTACAGCCGCAGACCAAGATGCAATCTATTGAGAGTGTGTCGTTTTTGGAAAACGAAGTAGACAATTTTACTTGAATGACATCTGTTCTTTAGTGTTTAGCAGTTAGTTAAAGTTTTTATCTATTTGAAAGGAAACGGCATTATCTATATAATAGTGCACCAATTTCCAAAAGAATCGTAGCTAGCTTTGAATGCTGGAATTTCTTGAAATGTCAGAACGGTCGGTGGTAGATTTTTCGAGCATATCCCAAAATATATACTTAGGCTTAGTAGGGAAGTTTTCAGAATGATAAAGACTTGGATAAGGATAGCAATGTAAGTTTGGAGGAAGGGGAAGTTTTAAGCGATCAAGATGTGGCACCAAAGTTAAGGAAGGATATTGTATCGAGTCAGGTATTTTATTTGCCTGATATTGATTTAGCTGTTGGATGGGAATGACAGTATGGAGTAGAGGCGTAGAGTATGCAGCAGTCAGGGGATGAAAGTTTAATACCTAAGCACTCCCAAGGGCGAACAATTGTCGCAAAGCGATTGGTCGGTTAATAGGAGTGCCAGAATGAAGAGAGGTTGTGTTACTTGCATGATGTCTTATTCTACGTCGCGCAAGTGTCAAGAACTTCCCACACTTGTATAATATGTTTACGTCTTTTGTTTCATCTTGTTGTGAGGTATGATGGGTTAAAACTGTGACTAGAAACTGGTGTTTTTAAGGGTTGTGAGAATAAGCCTCGTGCACGTTCAGACACGGATAGCACATCGCAGACTCATTCAGCTGCATCCGGTTTTGAAGATTGGAATTTGTAAGTTACATAAATAAACTTATTGTTTTAAAGCCAAGTCTCATCACTGATGTGATAAATTTCCATTCAGCTGATTGAATCAGATGAATTTAATCAATTTCTCATAACTCTTTTAGTGTCAGTAATTCAATAAATCGAGCTCAGAAAGAGAAGAATTTGGACGTGTTAGAATTAGAATTTCGGGCTCGTGCAATTCAAGCGCTCATCAAAAGAAATGAATGATGATCATAAGTAGCCTCTGTACAAAATTGTATGAGAGTAATGCGCCACAGTAGTAGTTGTTACTTATTGATGGAAAGAGATTATGTGACTGCTCATTCTATTTCTAAGCGATGGTGGTAGACATTTCATTGTTGAGAAATATATCTCATTTTAAAGAACAAATTCAGTTGGCATAGTATGATTAGTCGAAAATATGCTTTCCATTTGCGTTCTTTCCATCTACCAGTTTCCGGTTAAGAGTTTGAAAAGAGTAGTTCTGAAAAAGAACGAATTTGATATGCATTTTGAGTAATGCTGTGAAAGATCTGCTCAAGAATTGTAGTAACGATGAACCTAACAGAATCACCCATACTACGGTGATTCTGTTAGGTTAAATGTTTTCAAACTTTAATAAAAATTTAGTTTTCGTAGCTATTCCCTGTGTTATCGTTTCTACATTATTATTCTTTGGATTTTCTATAAAAACGTAACATAGCTGCTTTTTTTAGTTTCAAAGTAGTATGGGTTTATGGGATTTATAGAAAATTGGTGATTTGTTTCATTACTTCAGTTTTAAAGAAAGTTTACCTTAACTTTATAAAAGAGATATGTGACTTTTAAGACTTTTTTCGCTCGTGATTGTCGTTGTTTATAAATTGAAATTCAATTCTATCAAGTGCTAATAATTGTTTCTGAATAAATATTCATGTGTACGGGATTTGCGCATGTGAACCAATTTGTAGAGTGTTTTTATTACTAGAAGTCCTTCACTTTTTATAACTGTAAAGAGACTTGGTAAAGTGACGGGTGGCGTCCTTTATTGACTTTTTCAAACTGATATATTTAACTGATGGAAGGATATAACTTAGTGTACAGTAGGATCTATTTCGAGTGAAACAAATACAGAAGTAGTATGCTTACTATGGAGTACAAAGTAATGTCAAAGAAGAAGCTTAATTGCCATGAACACTGGTTGTCAGTATCATATAATGTTGATCAGTTCAGAGGAAGGCAAGTTGGAGCTGTTATATCATTTTACCGTACATGGAGTTCTTGCAATAAGTAAATGTCAATTTCCCATCACTATGTTATTTTTTTATAGCATTAAAAACTAAAGTTGTCTCTGAATTTCGATTAAGCTCGTATTAAGACACACACATTACAATAACTGATTTCTTTTTATGTTGCGAAGGTTCAAAATTGAGACTTCATTTGGGGCTGTACCGAGTTCACGTTTTTAATTTTCATCTTAAGTTCTTCAAGCTCTCTGAATAATATAAAGTTAATTATACTGGTATATTACTGTTATTTGGTACAGTTGGATGTAAAGATTTCAGTATTTGGTAGTGAGATTATAGAAATTAGTCCAGCAATGATTTCACAAAGGCATTTATAAAGGATAAATATCTTAATTTAATTAATCTGATAATGGAAATTTTCATCTAATTCAGTCATTTTTGTACGAAAATGATAGGAAATATTTGGAAGATGTGCTAGAAAATTGTGCAAAATCTAATGCAGTACCATCAAGGCATCATGAGCGATTTATTGCTATTAATAAAAATCAAAATGTAGTTTGATGAGCAGGTGGAAAGCGATTTGAAACAATTTAAAGTGAGAATGTATGAATGACTAGAGCAACAAAAGATACTCTCTCGTTCAAGAAGACTATAACTATTTTAATTAGAGAAATCTTTAAGAGTACTATATAATATTTTCAATGTATCACAATGATTCATTACGAATTTTTTTTCAAGAATATATCAGATCAGTTAAACTTATTTGTAATTATATATTTTCATTCGTAATTAATTCATTGTAGTTGTATTTGTTGACCCATAATAATTCAATTCTTTTATAGCAATGCTTTCTAAGATTTCTTATCGTAAAATTTACATGCTTGAGCAATGTGAACATAACTCTTATACTACTCAAAAAAGGTGTATTTTTTAATGCTAGTGGTCTCATTTAGTATTAATCTCAGTTGTTTTTAATTCATTATTCTATTAATTTTTTCCGTTAAATAATTAGATATGAACAGTTAACATTTATTTTAATATTGATATTAATGAATTTTAGGTATATTTCGTTATTTTGAATGTTCCATATAAATCAGTTTTTGATTGGACTTATTCAGTTTGCAGAAAACTTATTATATTTGCTATTCATGCATCAATAAATTTTATATTTATAATCTTTTTGCAAATAGTAACAAAATGCAAAGAAATTAATGATTGAAGCTTAATGAATGCAAAGTTAGTGAAAGATAAGTTGCTTTTAAATCAAGTAATTTCTTTAAGTCAAAAAAATCAACACTTTACATATTTAACATTCGAAATATTTTTGAGTGTGCTATTTAAAAATGCAAAAATGATGAAAACAACATAGTAATAATATATGATCTGTGGTTCAATTTTTATATCAACAAATAAAATAATACAATTTTATGGACATAGTATTTGTAATCTCAGAGAAAAAAATTTGGGTAATTGGGTCACTGCTTGCGGGCAATGGAACAAATTGATGCACAAAAGAATGACTCTCAGTTAGTTATAAAGATTGTTCAAGTTTAAACCAAATCTAAGTTGACTATCTTTTTAACGATCTTTTCCAATAAAAACTATCATTTGATGTACTAACCATTCCTAACACAATCGCTTCCAAACTTTCCTTCTTCGCTCATTTTCCAAAAAAAAAAAATTTCATATCTGTGCTTGAAAATACTATCAGTACTGATAGTCCTAGCATCTTGGAATCATTCATGATAGCATTGTTTATTGTTCAATTAATTTACTCATATCTGTTGTTGACAGATAAACTCACGAATATAATGTAATTTTATTGTACAATTAAAATCAAACTTTTTTAAAAGCGTCATCAAAATGACCATTTTCATTTATTATATAAATTTTTCATATCAGAATTTCATATATTTTTGATTATTACTTGCTTGTGAGAAAATATATGCAAAGTAATTCAGTATAATATTGAAAATTTTGCTATTTGCTAGTTTTATTTATTCAATTTTGTCTTAATAATTGCTAAATTCTTTTTATTAATTAACTAAATACTTTTCGTGCATCAATGCTGATTTTTAAATTTCCAAATATAGCAATTAGCTATTTTTGATAGACTGATTTCAGCCAATTAGCCAAGAACTTGTTGCTTTTCAAGAAAGCATGAAGTTCAGTGGTATCGATGACAGCTCGAATATTGAGCAACTTCAAATGCGTCGAGTTGCATTTTTTGCTATTGTTATTTCTACCGCTGCAGTTATTGCATCTATAGTAACCCTTCCAATGCTATACAGTTTTGTTCAATCATTTCAATCACATCTTATTGCTGAAGTTGACTTCTGCAAGGTTAGATTTTGCACATTTTACTTATATTTTCCTTCCGCACCATATCTATACTGAAGTAATAAAGCGTAACAAATATTTCATTTTCTTATATTTTATAATTTATAAGAAATATTATTCTATTTCATATCCTCAATCGCAATCAACGTTTAAATTATTATTCAATATTTCCAAAATTTTTGACATTTTGTTTAATTTTATACAGTTTATACAGTCTATTACAAAAATGATTTGATGCAAAATAAGTGACTTTTCTTTTTTCTTAATGAATGAAAAATATTTCTATTGTTCTGAGTTGAAAAAATGCATTGTTGTTAACACAAAATTTTAGTAAATTTTAAATTCAGAACTTTGATAATATATTTTACATTTTAAGTTTCTAAATACAATCTCAATTTTAGTCCCGATCTCGAGATATGTGGGAAGAAATGAGTTTAATAGACAGTGGATATCGTGTGAAACGAGAAGCAGGTACTTGGCTTTTTGGTCAATTTATACCAAATTCATCCGGTGCTTCTGCGTATAACTTGGGAAACACTGGATATAGTAACAATGATGGTGCAGCATCATACAGTAACGGAGGAGGGGATGCACCATATGGTGGAACTAATAGCGAACCTTATGGAGGTTCTAATACTGGTAATTCTTATGGTGGTGGTATTTTATATAATACCGATACAATGGGTGATACCGATAAACCAGAAGTATCACCGAATTATGGCCCTGGACCTGAAATTAATGCAGAACCAAATGCTGGTAGCTTTTGTTGCTCATGCCAACAAGGCCCTGTTGGACCACCAGGACCACCAGGAGATCCTGGTCCAAATGGAAGTGATGGAGAACCGGGCAGAGATGGTGAAAAAGGAAAAGATGGACAAGTAATTTTTCTTTTGATCAGTTACTGAAATTTTGAATCTCAATAATTTTCCTTCCATAAATTTTCTTAGAAAAAAATGAAAAGCATAAAATAAACAGAAAAAGACCAAAACGGTGGATCATTAATAAGTTTGTGAATAGAAGAGCACTGGTGGCATCATTTCAAATATATATCAGAACAGTGATTGAAACATCATAAGTACCTTTTAGTCTGATAATTTTTTGAGCAATATTTCTTATCACCAAAACCAGCTATTAATATACTCTGCAAAATCCATCTTAAAATTGATTCATCGAATATCATTCTCGTGTTATTCACATTAAAAGCTTTCATGAGCTTATTTGTTTCATGGACTGATTACATCAAACATAATTAATTTGAATGCGTATAAGGTTTTGGAACAAATGAACATCAGTAGGACTTATAGTTGTATATTTCTAAAACCTCAGTTTACTTGAAAACTACAGGAACGAACTCAGTAACTAATCACAAATGAGTAATCATTTGTAGAAATAATGAAAAAACTTTTAAGATATTGCAATCAGCAATTGAATTAGAAGAACCATGCATAATTTGTCCAGTCGGTCAGCCTGGCCCACCAGGCCAGTCTGGTCCAAAAGGACCACAAGGACCAAAAGGAGTGGAAGGTACGAAAGGTGAAGATGGCAAGAAAGGAGAACCTGGAATGATTGGTGCGGTTGGGCCAGTTGGGCCACCCGGAAAAGCAGGACCTGCAGGACCAGCTGGTCAGCCTGGACGACTTATTCCAATTAATGGACCTGTAGGACCCACTGGACCACCTGGTCTCTTTTTGCTCGAAATTTTTTTTTACTCTCTTAATATTGAAATTAATTTTACTATTCTGGATAATGTCATTTTTTTTATTAACCATTAAATATTTTGTCTGCTATAAAGGAACAGCTCTAAAAACTTTTTGCAGGTAAACCTGGACCTCCTGGTCCAAAAGGACCACCAGGTCCAAATGGAGTGACTGAAGATGGACCGCAAGGACCACCAGGAGATCCAGGAGTTCCAGGACCTCGAGGACCAGTAGGATTGATTGGACAGCCAGGATTACCTGGAGAACGAGGAGAAAGTGGATCATGCGAACACTGCCCTGAACCACGTACACCACCAGGCTATTAAATGCATTAAAATCTAATTTCTTTGTGTACAACATTTGTAGTAGCTAGTTTTCTAGCAAATTATAATTCACAATTTGATTATTTTTCAAATATATGATTCTGTTCCATTAAACCTCATTAGATTGTGTTGCAGATGTTTGTAAAAAAAATTTTATTTTATGATTTGAATTTAATAATAATAATAATAATAATGGATCCACTTTATGAGGTATTTAATGATTTTACTTCCGAAACATGATATTTAGATTGAATAAATTTTCGGAAATTATTCATTTGATCATATGTCAAGCAATCACAACAAATGATGTCGTTATTTTCATTTCTTAACTGACCCACTAAAAAGTGTTCATTATCATATTTGTGGATCACACTTTTTTTGCAAAATGATTGTAATTTGGAATTTAAGACTATCATTCCATCATGTCTGAGCAGAAACTTTGTCAAAAATAAGAGTGATAAATAAATAAATAAATAAAAGACTTTGCTGTCAATAATTCGTTTTACAACGTGTGAATTTGAAAAGTTTCCACAAGAAGTAATTTTTTATTTAAATGTATTCGCATTGTTTTACGGCAATTCTAACTACTTCAATTAATTTAACTTAAAAGTTTTCTTTCATTTTCTTTTAGTTGCAGAAAGAAAAAAACTAAAATAAAATTACACCTCATAGACATTCTGTTAAATTACAATTTACGACGTAGAAACATCGTTTCTATAAATAATAAGAGAGATTTTTGACGATTGAAAATATTTAAAATTCATGTTTCCTAACAATGATGTAAATATAATATACCAAAAATTAAACTTTATTGAAGTGATTTTTATTAATAATCTTTTTTATTTGCTTAAGACTGCAAAATTTGGCTTTGCCAGAAAATTTGATGAAAAATAAGCAAACTGAGAGTATAAAATGAAGCGTGAATGAAAAAAATATAAATATTGAAATCAATGACGTTTACTCATGCTCATGGTTTGGTAGTTTGAAAACGCAAAAATGTTTGAATCCTTTAATTGCTATTACGTGAGTATAATTTTCATAATCATCAATTACTAAACGCATACAAAAAAGATTAACAAATATTATACCGAATTTATTGACATCTTCCTGATTATCATATTTAGTTATCGTAGCATTTAAATTTGTCAAAGTTGTCTCCTTATGAAAATTTATAACATTATAATGCAGAAGTTATTGTCATCTTGTTGATTATAGTTCAGATGAATTATCAGCTAGACTAAACTCAAAACTTCTTGAGATGTATTGCTGAAATAGAAATTAGCGAGAAGTCAGCGTTATTCATGCAATTGTATTCCGTATATTTTTGTTATTTTTATGAAAAAAAACATCAGATGAAGGAGCAAAATTCTTTTCTTTGCCTTGATAAACATTGGTGATGATTCCTACACAGAGAGCTACCACATTGTCAACATCTTTTACTTCTTCTTTATAACAAATTTCATCTTACTAGAGGCCGAAATGTTTTCCACAAATGAAATTAGGGTTTCATTTTTATATGCGAAGAACTTTTCAATCATCGTTGCGAACTTGAATGGATATGGCATATGGCATGACAAAGCATTTCAGTATTATGTATTCAGTCTATTCTTGCCATATGATTCGTAATCATTTTGTAAAATAAAACTATGCATTGTTTTGCTGAACTAACTAACAAACAACAAATCAAACTTTACTCATATCAGATTGTGGCAAACTTCATACTGAAAGGCTAACAAAAGATAAAATCAAAATATAAAATTTCGTTTTTTAGATGCAGTCTTTTCGGAAATATTGGTAGGTATGCTTGTGCAAAATTCGTTACAATAGATTTATTTTAAAATAACATTTTTTCACTCCATTAAGTGGATTTGATTTATAATTACATATATGTATAATAACATATAACAGTTTAAGAAATTCAAAATTTAAGCTTAATCTTCTAGCAAAATGATACTCATTCATTTTAAACGTATGAGATTCCTTTCAATTTACTCCAAGGTTTTTTTTAAAATTATATATATATATATATGTTTTACTTAATATCTCTGATTATAATCGATTCGAATGATATATATATATATAATTTTATTTTCAGGAAATATATTATATATATATAATATATAATCAGAGAAAATAAAATGAAACAATAATAATTTTAGATGTGAATTAAATATCAATTTGCAGCAGCAGTGATTTAGAATTCAGCGTCAAATTTTATTTTCAGGAAATTTAACATTGCGAGATTTTTGCGTAGACTAAAGAAACGATAGATACAATGACTAAGTAATAAAGCGTGTTGTGCTGTGCGTATTTGTCTGTGCACATTTCTCCTTCATTTCTGCCTTCTGCACGTGTGCGACACTGTTGGATATTTATGTAAAATGTAAGGCAATAAATTTAAAACAACATCATCGATGTTGAATACTATGCATATCTATCTGTCTGTCTTTCTATCAGTTATTTCTAAAATTTTCCTTCTGAATGAGTATAAACTAGTACTGATTATTGTATGTCTCAGTCACTGTTTCACTACACACTACTAATTCTACACTAAATTAACCACTGTAAAATGTTTTATTACTTCAAAATCAATGATATTTTTTATGTTAAAATTTTTATTTGCATTTTCACTTTTTAACTATTTATTGTACATTTTTATATCAAAAAAGCATCATGTCAAATAAAATACTCTTTGCTATTTTACTTGTGAAATGTTTTCATCTCATCGATTTTCGTTTTTATTACACTTTTGCATGAAAACATTAGCTATTTTAGCTACTAAATCTGTGTCGGATATTTTCTGATAATTTTGTTTTTTGTCAAATTAATTAATTCATTTCATTTTTATAATTGCTAAATAATGTTTTTCTCGTATGACAGACAATGTTCTGTTTCTAACTTGCTCGCATTAACAAGTTTTGCATAAGATTAGTTGGTTGACTTGTTGATTCATACCTCATATTGCTTGCATTGAAAGAATAAAACAAAGAAAGCACAAAGTAAAAATAATTACTGAAAGTTATAAGAATGTGTTAAGATTTATTCATTTGTGATATATTAAAGTGTATCAAGAATTTTCACTCTAATTATTTTTGTCTTTTTCACAGGATACACTTATAGTAATACTTTGTATTTGCTCTGTTGATATATCAATTTCTAGCATACTGATAATTTTTGCAAAAATTTTCTGATTCGATACAACAAGCACATATTTTAAAATTAAAACTTCCAAATGATGGAAAGTGAAACAAAAGAGAAGATTGGTAATTTAATGCTTATTTTAATTTGAGTAATTCATTCTTTTAGTTCTCTGCTTTAAGCAAATTTGCAGAAAATAATTTTAAATTAATCATTTTATTCAATGCTGTTTTATTTATTAGACTTAAATCAAGAAGGAGTATTTGATTGTTTATAGAAAATCGACGCATGTTGCGAGTTCACGTACAACCAGTAGATATTGAATTAGATCAAGAAAGTTCCATTTTGATCACAACCCTACAAGCTGCCTTGCCTGGCGCTGTTGGCTTATACTATTATGACAGTGATTGTAAAGCATGTGTAGCATTTGATGGCAAAAAATTTTTGGTTCCAAATGGTGGATGGAAGGAACGCACATACTATGCAATATTAGGTTACATTTATAATCATTTTCATAAAAAATATAATGCATCTTTAACTGGAAGCATAAAGAAATTATTGTCATTTATAATTATTACAAATTTTAATCCATATCAATGCAAATTATGAACTTTGATAAACAAAATGATAGCATAGTTTAAATCAAATTTGTCATTTAATCCTGCATCTATTTATTTCAATGATTTGAAGTGAAATTATGAGCTGTGGAGTGAATTTATGAGCTGTTCTTACTTTTTATATCGTTCATATCTTTAAATGCCATATAACTTCTTGAAGTAAGCTGACTTACATTAATGATGTATTAATAAAATATTGCAAGGACTAGCAAGCCTCGTTCTTTCCAGTAGCTTTCTTTGTGTGCATATGGAAGTAAGCAAGTAAAAATAATATCTTTCATGCTAATGAAAATCAAGTGAAACATATCTTATCTATTATTCGTTCAGTATTAATTACCGTCTTTAGTCTTTAATAATTTTTTCTCTAATTCAAAATGTTTATCTTGTTGTCATCGGTACTGTTTAAATTTCGTACAAAAAAAGAAACATGTAGTTAATCAAAAATAGAAGTATACTTGTTATAAATTTTTCGTTACTTGAATTCTACTGTTTAAACTATAAAAAGTAAAGTATAAGTTTCATTTAACTTAATGTCAGAGAAATCACTCCAAACTCAATCAACAAATTGGAGCACGATTAAATAAGGAATTTTTTACATACATTAATAAGAAAAATTAACTGAGAGTAGCTTTGAATTTTATTATATTTAAGGATTACTCAATCAACATTGTTAATCAACGAAATATTTGATTTTAGGATGTCGACCGTTTGATTATCCATTTGGATCATATGCAAATGCTGCCAAGCAATTCGAATGTTCCGTTAATACTGTACAACGTTTACTTGCTAGCTCAAAACTTTTTGGTAATTACCAATTGACATAACATAATGATCAGAAATAGCTTTCTGTTTGCAAACGTAGATAAACATGAGACATTGATTAGCTCAAAGAACGTGACTTGGTTTTTTATAAAAATTGAAATACTTCAGAAAACAGATATAGATCGCAATGGTTTTAAAAGTTGCGCTTTTTTCTGTTATACTACAAACTGAATGTAATTGCGAATTACTGATAACTAGAGTGTAACCATACTTAGCTGTGATTCTGTCTAGTAAATTAGAAAAACTCCTGCAAATTTTGAAATATCAAGCAGCAAAGTATTAATATTATGATCATTTTATCTAATTTTGTATAACATGCTATGATTTTAGACTGGCATACTATGGAACAAGATATGATACCACCTGTAAGGAAAGAAAGAACGCTTGCTAGCGCTGCTAGCAAATCCGAAAATATGCAAAAAATGCTCGCTGCCATAACAGTAAGTGAAAATATAATGCTTCAGTAATAAGATGATTAAGATTAATAATTTAAAAATTGCAAATGTTCTCATCTTCGCAATGAATCTTGTGTAAATTAGTGTGAATAAATTATATTATCGTTTCTTTCGATGAAATATTTTATTGTTAAGCAAAGAAAAAGTGGAAGTTTGGAAAAAACTAATATAGCAAATGGTGAACAAATAGTGAATGATAAACAAACGATATTGGGAGAACAGTTTGTGGAAATGGCTAAAATTTATGCTACAAAAGATCTTGTAATTGAGCAACAAAGTAATGAGATTAAAGCTGTTCGAGAAAAGTTACAACTTATCGAAAGGTTACAATTTATTTTCTAGTAATTAAAATCTTTTCTAACATTGTATAAATTTTTAATAGTTCAAATTTTAAAAACTTTTCTATCGAAAATTTACATACTGTAATTTTGTAATGTATTTTTTGCATACATTCTTTAGGAGAAGAAATGTGTTTGATGATTGATATATTTGATGATAAAATGAATGAGTTATGCATTTAACTTTTCAACAAAATTTTATCAAACATTTTGTGCCAAACTGTTAGATTTCCTGCACAAAAAAAGAATGTAAAATTTGAAGGAAAAAAGATCTGTTTTCGTATTTTTGATAAGATAAGAATAAATGGAGTGTTTTGTCCAATGCTGTCAAATTTTGAGGTCAAACAATTATGCAAAAAATGAATTATTGAAATTGCAAAAAGATTGCACTGCAAAAGAAGAAGAATTGGCTATTTTACGCAGCATATGTAAAGATTACAAATGCTCATCTGATAAGGTAGTAATTTAGTTTCTTTCTTCTCTAAAACAGCTTCATACAGTCATATAAACTTTTAATATGAACAAAATTCATTATTCTGTTATGCTTAACTTTTTTTGCACTTCCAAATACAATGTATAATTCAAATTTATCAAACTTAAAAATTGATAGTTTGTTTGAATAATTTCGATTAATTTAATCAAAATACTTGCATTATTATATATGAACACACACTTATGCTAGCTAATCAGAATGATTTTCTTTCAGATTAATAAACTTACCAAAGAATTGTTTGAGACAAAGTGTGTGATTATCGCTCAAAAAGAAGAAATTGAATTTTTTAGCATGTACGTTTTTTCAAGAGAATAAGCTCATATTTGTGGATCAAATAAATACATAAGTAATTAGTTAATTTAGGAAGGCGGATTCAAACATTCTACGGCAATCACAAGAGATATTTGACCAGAATGAGCAGAGTACATGTTTGAAATCATCTTCTACCGAAGCAAACGAGCTTGTAAGTCAAGAAAAGACACGGGTTTGTAGTTTTTTCCATCATTTTAGGATTTTCAATCATGGAAAAATATTGGTGTGCGCTGAAGAGTTCACTTTACACAGTTGAACAAGTTAAAATTATTTTTGGATTTTACTCTAGAAAAGGAAGATAATGGTAAAAATTAAAAATGCATATTGTTGTTGAAAAAGAAAAAGCAGTTAGTAAAACTATTAACTAAAAAACAATAAATAATTTTTTTTAATAGAGTAAAAAAAAATAATTTCAACGTCTCTTAGACGTGAAATTTGAATATTTTTCTGTTGTAATTACTTTCAACTAAGAATAACGAAAAGTATGTTTTAGTATTTTGTTCGTGAAGTTAAGCATCTTCAGAAAACGTCTCAAGTTTGTGATATTTTTCATCTTTTTTTGGTAGATTTCTGAAGTCACAATGAAAGAATTACGTGAAACATTGAGTTTAATCAAAGCTCGCAACGAAGAATTGGAAAATGAAATCAATGTCACAGGAGAGAAATTCCAACAGTTGAACGAAGTTTACAGTGCTGTTTTAGCTCAGAATACTATACTGAAGTCTCGATTAGCTGAATTGTTAGTCTCGCTGATAAATTTTCTGTCTGAGAAAATAATCTTCAAACAGTAAAATATGTAAGTTTTGTGGTAAAATATTCATCATGTGAAATAGTTTAAAATTTTAAATATTGCTTCAGGGAACATGATGCTTCAGCAAAAATTATCATCAAAACTGAATCACCTGAAGATATTAGTGTTGTCGAAGAGAGTTCATGTAAAGTGAGTATTCAGAAAAAATTTTGGAATTATTCAAAATTATGGTGTTAATTCAAATGCTCATCTTAAGTAATGCTAACAGATATTTCAGAATATTATCGATCATATCTTTACAAATACGATAAATAATATGCTATAATACCCGTTAGCAGTTTGGAAATTATGTCTATGTAGTGATAAAATACAGAATTTGAAAGGAGCAATAAGATCAGCCCATCCTTTTAATAATATATTTTGACTTTCTAGGATTTGTTTACATTGGAAAAGAAATTAGAGGCAAGCGAAAAACGTATAGCTGAACTTATTCATGTAATACAGCTTTTAACAAAAGATTCATGCAGCAACGAGTTAAGGTATGAGCTGAGATAACTCAATTTGCAAAAAAATGATAAATAATTTGTGATTGATAATAATTATTTTGCTATTTTCAATTATCAGTTATCCATCTAAATTAAATCATAGCAGAATTTTATTTTTTAATAATTTTTTAGTATTATGTTTGCTATCAGATATATAAGTTCGATCAAAAATTCATTTATATTCGTTGCTATACTTACTGAGAAATTTCATCAAATTTGCCATCAGTTATTCTTCAAAGTATCTGTCCTATTTTGAAATTAATTTTAAAATGTTTCCATTTATACTTTCAATACAAAGATAAATTTTTTAATTTCTTCTGTTTTATACATTTATTTTATACAGTTTAATTTTTAGTGAAATCACATAAACATTTTTTGATGAGTTCACATAAATTTTAGTCAATTTTTATTATTTCCAATTATTTAATATTTATTGCCAAAAATACTACGTAGAGATAAATTCAAATTAAATTTTTTTTCTGTTTTTAGGAGAATTTCTTTATTATAGCTTACAAAATTTTTGCCTCATTTTTTTATATTATTTAAAAATGCTAGTTTAATAAAATATACACGGAAGTCAAGTTTTTTTATTTTATCAGTTTTAGAGCGACACATATGATGACAGTTCAAGATGCAATCAAATGTCGCGCAGATTATCCCGAAACAAAAGTTCAGGTCTGAAAATTTTGAAATGTTCAATCACTTACTGCATAAATTTTGATTCAATTATTATAATCACTAAGTAATGCACATATGTGAGAAAAAAAGTATTCATTATAAATTAAAACTAAAAGATTTTTCTTTTCTTCAAAATTAATTTTTAAATGTGTAAACTTTTTTCGCAATTTCAGATTACGATTTCAAAGTGATTACTGATGAAAAGATTTTTTACGACATTTTTCGACTCTGAATTTCTATTCTTGCATGATTATGTACTATTGTTAATTGTATTCTTGAAAATCCATTCAATACGTCATTACATTTACTAACTTTGTGAAGCAAAAGTATACATCATGAAGTACTAGAGATAAAACGTATCAATTACTTACTTGTGATATAAATTTTGTTTTTTTCTGATTAATTCGAAAGTTGATTTTTGTCTAAAAACTTTCCAAATTAAGTCTAAAATTATGCAAAACTAATTGAATAATTACTTTTTTGTGTTTTTTGTTATAAATAAAATTTGTTAGATTAAAAGAAGAAAGAATATTTATTTAAAAAAAAGTGTTTAAAGTATTTGTTACTATGTAATAACAATAAAGGGTTTTGTTAAAAATCTTGATGAACATCTCATTTCAGTGAGTGTATGCCAAAGCAGTTGGGGATACATGATTAGACAACACAGTCTGTATAATTCTACTTCGTTGAGTAATTTGCAAGAAGCCTTTTTTTGTGTGAGTGCGTGAAAGTTGCAAAATGCTAAAAAAATTTTCTATGTTTTCGTATTTACATGCTAGAAGTGCTCTGAAGATGATGTAATTTGTTACTGATTATTAAATTCTGTATTAGCTTTCAGCATAGAATGCTTTTTTGTTAATGCAAATTTTGTTCTAATTTCTTACATGAAAAATGCTTATTTTTTTTATGAGCATGCTATAATTTGATAAAAAAATTAACAAAGTAATCACTCTTAAGTTCAAGTTATAAACAAAATTGCAAATGGTTATGAATAATTATGATATAAATATTCATGTATTTTAATTTTTTGAAAATCTATCTTTTTGCTATCAAATATTCATCTATTAGTTTTATTTTTATATCGATAATATTCTAATTTAATTAACTTTTTTTTAGCTAATATGTAAATTTCAAAATTTGTTGTCATTTCCATTTCACAAGATGCTGCTATTTCCAAATCAACAAGTAAAATTATATTTAATATCATTATTTGGGTGAATATGAAAAGAATGTTTATACTGATATTTACGATTTATCACAAATGGTATCTATGATATCGTAGCATAATATTCAGCCCGATGTAATTCACATGCTGGGTCAAAAGTTATCCGATGAATATTTGGATAAACCAAAAAATAAAATAAGCAAAAGGCGAGGAAACCGAACAAGAACAACATCTGAAACATATATAAAGCACATTTATAAAAAATTAATTAAATTCATAGCTTTTCATTTTCTAAAATATTCATTAAAATTTCAGTGTTTTTGCGAGAACTATCTTCCTTACATTATAACATTTTTCAGTAATTAGATTGCATATTTTTCAGAATTTCCAATAGATACTTTAAAAAGCGAAAAATTATGCAAAAATTTTCTTAATAAAATTTTTTCGGAAAGTAATCATTTCTTATGATTAACGAGATATTTAAAATTATGATTGAATTACACTAACGATTTTTGATAAAATAATCACATTTAGATGCAATTGGTTTCATGTAATTTAATAGTACTTACTCTATAATGTTGTTAATTATGATAAGAAACTAATTCAGTTAATTTTGAGCAAATTTTTGAGTATTACAAAAGATTTTGGCAAATAAAAACAGTAAAGAATTTAGATTTTATTTTAAAATACCTGTGATATCCAATGAAATCTGTGCATGAATTGAGGTGTGAATTGTAGTGAGGAATTTTTCATTTTCCACTGATCACCTTAACAGATACAAACTTACAAGTTTGGTACACATTAAGTGTTTGTTTTAAATTTTTAACTTCATTAAAAATGAAAAATAGTACTGTTACCCAATGAAGTTACTGAAGGCCGCGAAGAAGCTCCTATCGGAATGGCTGTGTATAGACTTCCGGCACTTGTTCGAACTCTAAAGAATATTTAAAATTAAAATATAAATATTTTTGTTTGAACATTCTTATGTTTGTGCACATTCAATACATTCAATAATACTATTTTAGCGCCAAGAAATTAATGATTCGTAAATGTGAAGAATTTTGAGTGAAGTTGTGGCAAAGAAGGCAGCTGAGCAAGAAATAAACTCATCAATTTAACGCTATTTTTGAATAATTTAAAAATTATTAAATTTATTCTCTAAATTTAAAAAGACTGAAAAAAAATCAATACTTTACACTTTCCTAGTAAACTCTATTGTGTATTCTATGATTAATTTGATTATCTTTTTTTAAAATAATTTTGCATTTTATTTTGAAAAGACAAAATATTGAATCTTTTGATAGTATTTATTTCGAGAGCATTTCATTGTAAAAATATCTGCTTAACTTTTCGCAAATACTTTAAATAGCACAGACTTTTTTATTTTATTTTTGCAACTACAAATAAGAAATCTATAGATTATCTTTTCTGCACACAAAAAAAAGCTCAAAAAATTAAGAATAACTATTAAGCAAATATGCAAATTTGCTATTTTATTCCTATGCCAGTATTAATAATTTATTATAAACAATTGTTCGTTTAGCAATGAAAAATATTAATTTTCTTTATTCCTTAAACTTTACAAAAGATAATATGCATGTAATTATTAAGTCAAAATCAAACAACTTTTGAGTAGTTTGCTTCGTGCAACGCACTGCAGGTGTTGTTTTCTCACTAAAATTTGCCATTTTCTTGTCTTTCACATCATTGTTCGTATTAGGTGAAACAGATTGAAATGGACATACACCAGCTACGATAGATGTATCCCTATGTTTGTACAACAAATACAGTATGTGAACAAACTATGAAATTTATACTATATAAAATTGAAAGCTTGCAATATAAAACCTGATAGCATTAAGGATTGCATTTTGTACATCATTTGCATTACTTCTCCTTTCCATAAAAACCCTAAATCCAGCATGAAATCATTAGTAAATTTTGTTGTCTTAAAGACTTTAGTTTTTTTTAACGAGTAATATTATAAATAAAACTAATTTCACTTGAGATAGCTAAACTGCAGACACTTTTGGTTTTCTGAAATGCTGAAAGATGATAATTTGTTAAAAAAATTTATTGAAGAACTAATAAAGAACTTTGATCGAATAAAAAAGTTTAACCGAAAATAAGATTCAGACAAACCTTGAAATGCGCAAACGTTGTCGCATATATTTTACGACAGCAAGTTTAATAAGTGAAAAGAATACAATACAAAAGCATACACCTATGAATAAAACACTTTATTATGTTAAAAATAAACTTCAATAGATTTAGCAATAAATAATTCTTTAATTTTAATTGCATTTGATCTTTGAAATTAACATTTTAATTTACAGCAAATTTGGTTTATTATACTTTTTGAAATTGAAAGAAAAAATCATTTATCTTAATTGCATATCACATTACCATATACCTTTTGGAAGGTAAAAGTTGAAAAAACTAAATAAGCTTGTATTTTTGAAAGAATAATTTGATTAAATTCAGAAATATGTTAAATACAAAATTCAAGTTTAATATGAAATAAATGGTACACCTTTGAAATTTTTAATGTGCAGTTTTTTTGTTTATAAACAATGAAATCATAATGAATTTTATTTTTTCCTTTCATTTCTTAAAATGTTCAAATGCAAATGTTGACAATTTTATTAAATCATTTTTAGAACAATTTTTTAATAAAACAAAAAGAAATTATGCAAAGAGAATACCTAAGTAAACATCCATAGCTTTGATATAACTAACCCGTGGCATAACTTCGTTGTATGAAAATAACAAAAACGTTATCGTGAGAATTATCGAAATCATATCCTAAAAATGTAACATTTTTAGTAATCATAATACTTAATAATAATAGTGATTAAAATAATAGTAAAAACAAGTTGAAGTATTGAGCTGATAAGAGACTTTCTCATAAAACCTGAAATGAAGTTTCATTTTCCATCCAAAGTGAAACCCAAGATGTGATGACTATGGCTGTGGAAGGAATAATAAGTTGTAAGAAGCAAAAACCAGCTGCTCGGTTAAATATAAAACATATATACAACCGACTGTAATTACCTAAATTAATCCTCGAAATATTGCTTTGCAGTATTAATCATTTATTTGTGATTGTTTCACTTCGTTTTTGCTTTATGCTCCAATTTTCATAAATTATAAAATTTATCGGTTTACCACTTGTAATAATCAAAGATTTTCCGAAAAAGTATTCAAATTTTAGTTAGTTTACCGGTGGCATAGGTTTCCATTTGGCTCGTTACATAAGCTTCTCTAATTTGAAAATCAGGTAACCGTATTTTGTGTAATTTTAGAGCTCTTTTTGATCCGTTTGACCATTTATATCGCACTTGATCTGATGTGTAACCATCTAAAATACAATAGCTTAAATCATTTCATCTAATATATTAAAACTTTTTTAAATTTACAATTTCAATCTTCACTGAGCAAAAATTATCATAAAAAGAACAGCGTAATTTCTGAGTAAATATATCAAATAAAAATAAGTAAAAGAAAAAATAGTTGAGAGCAAATTATTCAGATTTGATATTGAGAAACTTATTCAAAAAGAAAGGCAAACATTTAACACTTACGTAAATTATTTGGTAGGAACGTAGAAAAAAAATTGTTGGAAGAATAAAAATTTAAATTTAAAAGCTAACAACTTTCAATGCCAAGTTTACAAATTTGTGAATCAAATGGGAATAAAGTAAGATCCATTGGGCATTCAGCAACAACCGACAAACGTCTGCTGTACAAGATGCTACCATGCTCTTGCAATCTGAAGTAAACTTTATAATTTAAAAAATTTGATAGAGTTAAAGGTGGAAACTTACGTAAGAGAAGAATAAACAAATACTAAAATAAAAAAGCTAATTTAAAGTATAGCTTCTAATTATTCAATCCAGTGATAAATTATGTTTGTAAAAGACTTATAAGTGTAATTATATCAAGTAACATTACTATAAAGACGAATAAAGGTTAATTTAGATTTCCTTAAAATCGTCATATTTCATACCTTAATAAAGATCTGTGAGTGATTGAATGCTTTTGTGGATTTTTAGATGCAATTGCATTGGGCATGAAAGTATCCGGATGCCAAAGAAAGTTGGTATAACTTTCATGAAGTGCTAATTCTGATTTGTTTTGAAAATTTGTTCTGTTGTAAGCTAAACGTTTGTCAAACCATGATTCTCGATAGAATAATTCCAAGCTATAATCCTAAAATTATGAATATATTAATGTAAAAAAGTAATACTTGTTAAAAAAATAATAATACATTGAAGTGAAAAATAAAATATTTCACATTTTTAATGCTAAAAAAATTATGTTATCTGAATTTACCATGGTTACTTCTGAAACTGCTCGAATATTACTCACAACAACTGAAACATGAATGTCAACCGTTTCTGAAACTCATTCAAATCTACACATTGTAAACATTTTAATGAATTGCGACTTAAAATTCTTTTAACAGTCAACTCTAATTTTTAATTTTCTGCTTTGAAATTTTTGTTAGTGCAAAGTTTTAAAGAATATTCATTTACATGTTTGATGAAAAAAAAGCAAATAATTTCAAATCTATAATATTTATTTGCATGATTTTTCTTCATAATTTTTAAATGCAAATAATGATAAGCATTATAGATTAAGGCAATTATTCTGATTTGGCATATATTTTTGAGAAATTTGTCAATATTCTTTAAAGTTTAGAAGAAAGTACTAATAACCTCCATTGTAATTTACAGGTAGTTGTCTATGGTCATATTGAATATCACGTAGAAATTGTAGAAAATCTCGTGTTTCCCTGCGGTAAAGTAACATTTAATCTACAGCCAAAAAACTACAGAAAAAAAATTTTTTTTAAATCATTTTTGAAAACAAACACGTGACAAGTTTTTGTCGTATATAATATACGAGACGAAAATTAAAACTTACCCTTGCTCAAAAATACGATCTTTAGACAATCTTGAAAAGTCAGGTATGAGTTCAAAGTTGTCCTCAAACCAATTATCTTCTGTCTCTGATTCTTCGCTCATGCCTGATAATACATAATTTTGAGAAGCACCTTTCATAACCAATGCACCACGCACTGCTTTATCCTGCAATATTTTTGATATGTATGATTATTCATTGATTAATAAATCGTTAGTGATTAATGAAATGATTCAAGTATTTACAGCTCATTGATTATCTCAGAAAACTCAACTCTTTGGGTGGCAAATTATTGGTAGAAGAAATTTAAATTAACTAAACTACTAAACGAATCCAAAACTCTTCAAAATTGATGAGGTTGAGTAATTAATATGGTGACATCAGTCCAGTCAGTAACTGGTAAATTGAGTATTGTCATATTTATGTTGTAAACAGCGATTCTACAGCACTCAATTATGTGAAAAATAATTAAATATTTTTGATACTTTTCAAGTTTCATTTTATGTTTGCTGTAACTTAAAAGCATAGTTACTGTCTGAAATGGCATCAAAGGATTTGCAGTTACTGCTTAACAAGCATTTTTTTTGAGGCAAAAATCACCTGTTAATTGAAATCTCTTTTAATTTCAAAAAACAATCAAATGTACCTGAATCAAATTAGACTAAGCTACGTTTACTCGTTTGAAAAACATGCTGAGTTTTTTGTGATAACAATTAATCATTACTTTTTATGTACAGTAATTATCAAATAACTGACTCTCAAAAAATACTTTGCAACTGCTTCTAAATTAACATTGTTCTTGCAAATTAATTATCAAGTGCGACTATTTGTTTATTTATCATAGTTTTTTTAAGTAAAATGTTTAGTAATTAAGGAAAATAAGCTATATCGAAATACATGTAAACATGTAATTTTTACCGCTTTAACAAATATAAAGTTGATCAAACATAAATAAGCAAGAGCCAAAATCAGCATTCCGATATATAAATAATACCAGCTTCAAATTTATGAAGCTTCATGCGTCATCACTGAAACATTTAAAAGTTCTCTTGTCAAGATAAAATAATCATGTCTGATTACAATACAACTGATAGCATCACGCAGAAAACATTGAATTTATAAGTAGACCATTTGTTCATTTTTTAGTGACATTCGTATTCTTTCACTTTTTTTATTAGAATATCATTGAGAAATCAAAATTTGATGATTACTGACAAGAAAAGTTAATCTTCAAGCCTGTGCTAACAAGTTTTAATATTTAATATTTTTTGAAATTAACCTGTTTAATAATCAAAGCTAATATTAGAAAATAATTATGAAGTGAGAAATTAAAAAATATATATCATTTAATTTTTAATAAACAAAGTTTTCTTAAAAGTTGAAGATATGAAAATGTGATATGAAAATAATAAGTCATTGTGTGACTGCAACTTTGAATAATTGAAACTGGAATGATTTTGTGATAAATATACTATAAAAAATATTAGAAATATATGAGAAAATAAGCAAAAAATTTTTTTCATTTTTTATTGTGGTTTAGGAGAATTGTATTTTCACTAGTAAAATGCTTATCTATAGAAGTCAAATAATAAATAAAAATTTACTGACTTAGTATTTGTATTCTGTCTACTGTTCTTTTTTTAGGATCAAATCAAAATTTTACACAATGATAGCTATTTTCATGATTTCCATTACTAATTATTATTATCATTTAAAATATTAATAATCTAATTTTAATTAAACAACTCAAGTATGAGCAAAAAAACATTGTGCTGACAAATAACATAAAAATCTAACAAATTTACATTAACAGCAAGAAAAAGCAAAGAAGTTCCAAAACAGCAAAATTATGCTCTCACATATGTAAGAAGTCGATGAAAATTTTTCTAAGAGTATCAAAATTGAATAAACGCTAAAGATGTGCAAAATGCTTTCTAAAGCAGCTTTTTCTGCGTAAACTTTCATGGCTGATGTCAGAAGATAATTTCAATTTGCTTTACAAGTACAAATAAGTATTCAGTTCGAATATTTATTTGAAAATTTTTGTGCTGGATATATTTGACTTGATAGTATTATGAATGAAAATGCTTTTATTCACAAGAAAAAATATTCTCTATACTGCATATACCATATGATTAGTTTCAAAATGAAAAATATTTGATAAAATGTTAAAAGAAAATTGATCAGCTAATTTCTTACTTTGATAAACAACTTTAATTTCGCCAAAATTAATCATATTTTCTCCAAACATTTCAATTTATGCATAACTACAAATACTCTTTGACAGCAACAACAAAAGTATTTTTTTTTATCAGAAATAAAATTTTCAGATATTAAACAGTTTAGAGTAGTAGTAAGTATGACAAAGCATAGCTTTGTTTATTTTTTCAATTAGTTTAATTCATACAAGCATACAAAAAATGTTTATAGCATGAAAATACAACTTTTTTCTTCTCTTTTAAATGAGTTGGAATGAAGTGAAAAATAAAAGATTTGAATGCTATCAAATTTAATTCAATCAAAGCTGTTTTAGGAGCTTATTTAATTGAATTTTCTTGGGACTATTTGTGCAACTTATTATTAAAATAGTTTTTATATTTTGTAAAGACTTTGTGAAAAAAAGTCAAAATAGCAAGTATTGCATATTTTAGCTTCTCCAATACTTAATAATTTTTATTTAGAGTATTAAAAAGTATAAAATATCACAAAAGTATTGTTCCATAAAAGTTAGCTTACAGTTGAAGAGAGATGTTGGTTGCTGAAAAGTGAAATGAAAAAAAAATGTTGTAAAATTGTATTAAGATTTTAAATAAGATGAATGTTAGCTTCAGAACAATTCAAATATATTAAGCTGTGTGTATTTTATTATACAATCAAAAAAAAAAAAACGATTTATTAAGCATTAAAATCTAAAAAATGTAAAATAGATAAGTTCACAAGAAGAAATGCAATATTTAAGGGAAAAATGTGTCGTTTTAGACATATATTATTTACATTTTTGATTATTTCATTCCACGAAACAAAGTGAGACAACAAGAAAAGGCTAGTACATTATGAAGCTTTTGTCAAAAGTCGTTTTAATAATTTAAAAAAAATGAATGAATGTGCAAGTTTGCATTTCCCTAATGCACTTCTTTCAAATACTTATCTCAAAATCTTATTCATATTTTGTGATTTGGAAGGAAAGATTATAAGAGAAAAAATTGTTCTTAAAATTTTTTTTCAAGTTTATACGGTAAAATTTGATGATATTTATAAAGTTTTATTTACCATTTATTGACTAATGCAATTTTTTTGCATTCATTCATTGACAGCTATAATATAATACTGTGGCACTGAAGAAG